ATACCCTTTCCAACACCAGCAAGTTATATTTCTAAAAATTAAATCTGATAGCAATTAAAGCTAGCCATCCGTCTCATAATTTCCCAAATCTTTCATATTAATGTTAGACTACAAGCCATTTAATGCCTCTGGCAGCTGGAGATGGGGAGAATTCAAGAATGCATGGTAAAATATTGGCTCTACTTATTAATTCAGTATAAATTTTGCCTCAGCTAGCATATCGGTTTTCATGAAAATCTAGCCATATCTGTGCATGTCAACGTGGTGAGAAATTTAAGTAGCCTTGACATCATGATGCAGCCAAAGGCATTTACATACTACTCTTGCTGTGGCACACCTATGGCTAAGTCCTCAGCAACGGCGTGAAGCAGGTGAGCGAAGGCTTTCCCTCTGCTCCCTTTCCACCGCGGCACGTCAGCAGGGAAGCAGAGGCAGTTTGGAGCAGCATTCAATCGCCCTGCAAGCCTTCGCCCTGGCAGCCTCCGACGGAAGAGCTACTCCCAGAAATCCTTCCTTCATCACTCTCCTAAATTCCCTTTCTCTTCATCTCGTAACAATGAACCCAGGTCTTGGCCACCATTTTTTATTACTGTATTTTTTTAAACAGGCTGCAAAAATAGAACTCCCATGTCCTTCTTCCCCTACAGACGTTTCTGATGTCCCCCTCTCACCTCAGCCAACTACTCAGCTTTTTCTTCGTTTTATTACTGTGTCTTTTTTCTGTCCACCTTTTTATCCTTTCCATTATCGAGCATTCTTAGAAAAGATTATGTTAAAACTGGCAAGCTGATTAAAATGCATGAGTAGTAAATAAAGGGAAGACATCTACATGAAAACAGTAAAAACAAGGATAGCATCTTTCGGTGTTCAGCTGATTGCAAAATCATCTTTGAACTTTGCATTGCTTGCGGTGGTCTCACTTCACTGGGAGGTAATCCATACGGATTACGAAGCTATCATGTCAACATAATATTTCAGCAAAATATTTCTAGCAGTATTCAGTACATCCACATCAACAGTATGCAGCTTCAGAGGTCAAGATAATTCTTAAAGAATCACAGAATATGCTACCAAAAATGGAGTTTGAACAAATACCCAACATTTAAAACAAATTTCATGTCTTTATTTTGTATTATTATAAAACAGTGAAAAGAACACTAAAACCAGGAATATTTTAAAGGCCACGTGAACTTACAATTTGGTTAGTAACAAATGTGTTGGGTTTTTTTATTTTAGAAAACTAACATGTATTCAGTTTTACAGGCTTGTAATACTGAAAAAACTCCACTATCTGGCACAGCATTAGCTCCTATATGTACTCAAGAAGAAACTAATGCAAGCCCTGCACATTTTTTCTTTCTATAATTTACAATATTCAAATTTAAGAACTGCTTCTGACTTTCATTATATTTAAGCAATCTCACACAGTTTTACTTCGTGGCCAAAGTTGGCCCATAAATGTGATTTTCTCGCTGACAACACATGAATTAAAAACACAGTCTGCTTTGCACATTTGTGCGCTAGTTTTTAAGGACAAACAGAAAAGCATTTTTAAACTTGTCAGCTGAGCAAGCTTGATACAGGGTTGAGAGGAAAGAAATCTGTAACAATTTTACGATGTTTTTCACACTAAAACAACACTTAAAGCATAATGATGTCATCTCGGCTCCACCAAAATCAGCAACAAAGCTGCCATCCACTACTGTGAAGCCAGGACTGCAAACTTAAATCTTCCTAGCTCTATTAGATAAGTGAATGCCAGATCTCGCAGACTTGCTTTACCTGCAAAAATACAAGTCTTCTTGCCTAGTCTTCAAACTCTGTTTGATGGGCTTGCACACAGAGTTCAAGCAGACTTTCACAACACAGAAAATAATTAAAGCTTCAGCTGCAGCCTCAGGCAGGAGCTCAGCCTTCTCTTCAAGATGGTTGCTTTAAGGTAACTTTGACCTGACACTGACAGGACTAAAAACCTTAAGGGAGGAGCAGCATCATGCACACATTATAAACAACAAATTGTTGTTGTTGTTGTTATTATTATATAAAAACAGGGTTTCTATATGGCTAATGGAGAGCGGAAGAGAAAGAAGCATGTGCACACATAAGCCTCTCTTCCTCTGTCTTAAAGGTAAGAAGCCAGATCAGACTGGTAAGGTACAAGATTAATTTCAAAGTCACTTGATGAATCTAAATTAATTAAAACAAATGTATTAAACAAAAGATGGCAAATATTGTAGCCATGCTTTTGATTTATCATAGTTTAAAGTCTGGTAAATGCCTCCCAAAACAGATTTAGGAGGCATGGTCTGTGTTCAGAAGAACATACAGGTTAAAACGTAGTATAATGAAAGCATGTGTAAGTATATGAAGGAAGCAGCTGCAAGGATGTGGTGACATCCCTAATAAAGTCTGTTGACAAAGTAAGAGCAATGTAAAATTAACACGAGTAGGTCAACATTTAGTCTGATCAAATGTGGCCCATCATGAACACTATCCTGCTTTTGACAGTGGTCTGATGCCTAAGATTATATTAAAAAAAAAAAAAAAATCAGTGCTTTCATACTAGCATCCGAGTTTCCAATAGTCCATGACTCCATGACTTGGCAACTTTCCGATATTCACAGATGATGCATTTTTATTTACGAGCCCTCAATGAATTCTTTCACTCATTTTTAAATCCAGGTTTACTTTTATATCACTAGGATATAACAGACACAAAAATAAGCTAGGTTGGGGTTTTGTTTCAATGTGTTAATAAACACATCTTAGCAGACAGACTAAACGAAGCTGCGTCCCTACCCTAAAGGTGCAGTTTTGTCAGGTCCCCACTAAGTGACTTGCTAACTCCACAGCATCCCAGATAGTCCTCTCATGGACTAGAGCAGTTGCAACTCATTGCATGTCACACCACCAGTTTATGCAGGCAGGGTGCGAGGAAAACTGGACTACCCACCAAGGCACAACAGAGGTCAAAAAATCCAAATTTTTTTGTGTTTGTCTTTTTTTAATCTAAGAGTGAGAGTAACAGCAGAGAAACAGGGCTCTGCTTAGAAACCACCTGTATTATAACCAGGACAGAAAGCACAGTTTGATGTAATCATTCAAAAAATACTTGAATACCTATCATCCCCATCAGGAAATACTGTAAAGAAACTGTAAGAAAATAAATAATTCTCTTTTCCCTCCAAATGCAAACTTTTAGTTAAAGAAACAATTTACAACTTGCAGCAGAAAACAAATTGGATTTAACAAGCAAGATTATTTAACAGCAAGATATTAATGGTACATATCATATTTTACTATAGGTTTCCTGGAAGAATAGAGATAGGTGAGCTTTATCACACACCATAATTATTAACGGTCCATTTGGAGCATCATATGCATTAAATAGCACAGTAAAACATGTTTTCAGAGACATTTTAACACACACAATTTTTAAAGTAGGATTTTTTTTCCCACTTTTTGAAGCCCTTTTCTTTATTCAGAGACTATGTCCATGACTATTACTTTTGGACATACTAACATTCTTTAAACAAGAAAACAGGCAAAATTGTCAGCATCAGGCACCAGTTATCACACAATCCCCCTGCTGTTCATCTCAACATGTTCTTGAGACTTCTGAAATGCCAGGAAGCATTTGGCCAAGTAATAATTAAAAAAAAAGAAACACCCCCCGCCAAAAAAACAACAATTAAGGCAAGCTTGGAAGGACACAAAAGGTTGTGTGATAAAGGAAGCAAAGATCCAGAGTAGAAAATCAGCCCAGAGCAGACCCTGACAAATCTTCGAAAATTCAACTTTAGCATACTAAACAGCTTCAACTGCACTTATTTCCATGGGGGAAGGGGAAGAAAATAAAGATATGTAGAGGTAGGGTTTGGTGAGATGATAGTCAAATCCCCTAAACACAGGAACAGGGAGACAAAAAAAAACCCAAAACCAAATAAAACCAAAACACAACCCTCCCTCCCCATGGTAATAAACAAACACACACACAACTCTAAAGATTAATCTTTTCACCTAAGAGAAATTTTACATGGACCTGAAATGTGGAAAAAAAAAATCACTGCACTATACAGTCTCTTTAAAATAAGAATCAAATGCAGTTCCTTATATACATATTTTTTGTATTTCTGAATTGAAATCTCCCAATTTGTTTTCAAAACCCTGCTGTTACTTCTTGTGCATAAAACTATGTGATCTAAAATAACAAGCACAGGGGTGGAAAGCATGGATCTTTGTATTGTAACCTCAGCCAGATCACCTATTTACCAAACACCCTCGAGCAAAAATACTAACTTGAGTTGTCCCTAAAACATGGACAAAAATATTGTCAGACATAGAGGATGTATGCGTAACAGCAAGATGAGATTTAACTTTTGAATATAGCCTAATATTGTGACGAAGAAGGTGAAAACTATGGAAAGCTACATATCTGCACTCCCACTGCCTGCAGTCAGTGATAGGAACTGGACTCTGACGTGGAAGGCAAGGGAAGGAAGAGAACTTGAGACAGTATTTTTCTTCTCCTAATTTGTTAAAGAAGTGTCAAAACTAAATAGTCTGTGTTCAGAAATAACTCCACTGATAACTATAACTCACAGAGGGGATAGTCTAGACTGCTGCAAATATTAAGGCATGTATGATATCATCTTTTTTTTTTTCCTCCTCCTCTTTCAAGTTAACTTTGTAGGAACCATGCTCAGAGGTGAATCCAAATTCTGCAGATCCATATATAATATCTGTTTGGAGTTGTTCTTTTTGGAGGTTGGCAATGGAGGGGAAGAAGATGGTGGTGGGACTTTTAAAAATTTATTTTACCTGTGGTGTTTCATATATCTAAATTAACTTCAGGGAAAAAAGCTTATGTTTAAAATCTTAAATTAAGCATGTGTTGAGACCATAATTAATTATTTTATTTGACGATTTCTTGAAATACAGACCATAGACTTAACAAGTTAGATCTGGAGGAAACAGGCAGTCCTCCTTGGCTTGCGTACCTGTGTCACTTCCAGATCCAGTTGATAATGCTGGCATGATTTAGTCTGCAGAGTATCACGCAGGAATGTCAGACTAGCACTCTGCAGCCAGAAGGCAGAAGTTAATTTCAGTTTAACTGCTTGCAGCCAAGTTGTCTACAAAGATTTATGCTATCTCAGAGTTTCTCCTAGAAAGAAAAGAAACAGAATTTTACAATTAAGAACACTGTTAAACTGTAAATTACTGCAGCTAATCAAACCCAATCATTATCACAAAATAAGCTTTTGATTTAAGACTCTCTAAACAAAGTGCTTTGCATTTATTTATGACTGTTAAGATTTTTTTTTTCCCCAGGTGAAACAAGTTTTGTTTTCTTCAGTCTAGCCTATAATCCCATTCTGCTGTAAAAATAATTTAGCACATTTCTCTCATGTAAATTATACTCTTTAACTCCAGCGTGTCAGGTATTTTGGAAATAAAATCGAGGGTTATTTTATTAAAACAGTGGATAATTTAAGTCACTCAAATTTTGCTACTACTTATCCCAGAAAAAAAAAAAATTGCTTACTAGCATGGTAATTTATTCAGTGTTTCTACTTAACCTCCTTTCAATTGTTTTCAGTTCATTTAAGATCTGACATGCAATTTTTATTTGTAATCTAGAAATACAATCTAAATTTTAACTGAAGTTGTAAAAAGCAGACTGGGGCAAACGCTTCTCTAAGGTAAATAGCAGTTTGATTCGTGGAGTTGATGGAGCCATTATCATGCAGACCATGTAAGGAATTTTTCTGTAATTCATTACTACAAAGTCAGTGTTTTTTAAGCCGTATTTTTTTATAATTGCACAGGCCTACTGATACAAAGTTTTGTGTCTTTCTTTTAACCTGTTCTTGAGGAAAATTCAGAGCAAATGTAACAAAAGTAAAAACCAATTTTAAATATAAGCGAACGTATTTAAATTCAGGAATGTTAAAATATGAAACTGGAACACAAACTTGTGAAAAGAAATTCAGAGTTAAGACTGGAAATGTTTACTAATAGCAAGGCAGGGGCTAATGTGTGAGAAGGAAGAGAGAGGGGGAAGTAGAAGCTAACAGAAAACAAGGGTTTTCTCCAGATTTCAGTAAACAAAAAGGATACTTGAAGAAAGCAAGCAGCATAGTTCTGCCTTAGCATAAGAAAATAAACAAACAGAAGAGCATTGTGCTGCTGCTGTTGCTGGTTTGTTGGTGTTTTGGTTTGGTTTTTTTTTTGTTTGTTTTTTTTTTAAACACATTCATATTAATCAGAATTACTTTTGAAGTCATCTTGGCTCTGAAAATGCATATTTTGGACACATTTGCACTTGGCAACAGTCTTGTGGAAGAGTAATATACAGGTGCTGTAAACACTCCATGAAGTTCAAAATTTTGTTTTACACAAAAAAAAAAAATCCCCATATTGCTAAAAGTATTGCAACTTAAGGGCCATCCACAAGGTTTTGTTTAGTAAGTTTTAAATCAATTATTAGATACAAGCTAGTTATTAACTCATCCCTAGGCATAACCCTATAGTTTAAATAGTCTGGCAACTTCTTAAAGTTCTTTTTTTTCCTCCCCTAAGCCCTTACCCGAAGAAACATTTTGCATGTCAGCTTTCAAACTCCAGCAGAAGTTGCAGCCCTGGGTAACTTCTTCTGTCATGAAAAGGACCGAATAAAACTTAAAAATCTATCTATTAAGACTGGTTTAGGGTTTGGGTTTTTTTTTTTTAGTTATAAAAGTTTGTGGCAAAGGAAAAAAGTAAGTTTTCACTAAAAAAGCATCAGCTTCCAAAAAACTGTTTTGACATTCATCAAATCAGCACGAAGTCCATTGACTTAAAATTTAAAACAGAGATAAGGAAGTTAAGTATTTCAGAGTGAAAGCTCATCTTATGATGACGAAGTTGTAAAACATCTATATGCAAAGGTAGCCAGGGTGCAGTTTAAAACAGAAAAAATAAAAAGACATCGTAGCTGAGGACACGCTGTACCAATTAAGACGGAACATATTCACTTTGCATTAATTCTGCTTGTTTTCTTTCTAACACATACAAGCACCGTAAAAGAGAAGTCATGTTCTAAGCTCCCTTACAGTCCCCAGCGTCAGCACACCACTACAGCCGTATGAAGGACGAAGGCATTTTTAGTTTTTAGTTTAGTCGTACACATGTAAGAAACTGATTAAAACAAAATTATTTACTATTAATGGGACATCTTTGATTTATATGCAGCTTAAAGTACTTTCATCTATTAAAAAACAAAACAAAACAAAAAGACCAAACCCAAACATGCAAGGCATTCTCATTATAGGTGCCTTATTATCAATCAGAAATTCAGGTTCCTTAAAAAAAGTTCATTGCAAAACGTGGAAAGCCTTGTTGACCTACATACATGTCATATATTTAAACTCTATCAGTTTCTCTATTTTTCTTTATTTCACAGTAAATCAGTCAATATTTAAAAAATTCAAGCTCCTTAAGAAACTTATATACAGCATAAAGTTATTCCCCCCAGATCCTAAATATATATTAATGAAAAATAAATGACCTGATGAAATCCTTACCAGTAAAATGCTTAATATTTTGCTGGAATGGAATGGGGACTCTTTTTTTCCCCCCCCCTAACTTGCAAATTAAGCTACATTTTTGCAGTGATGATGTTATTTTCTTTGGCTCGCTTTATTTAAAATGCTTTGGAAGTTTTTGCCGGAGCCCAGCCATAGGCATTGCTGACTGCTGTATGGAATCGATTTGCTGCAACACAGAAATACCAGCTGTTACAGTATGTCCTGAGAGGGATTACCGAATATTCTTAAATTGAAGTTCAATCCATCTTTCCATAAAAACGAAAAGGCAACGCCAGGAACGTAACAGCAGTATCAAGTGCACCTGAGGCATTTACAATACCCAGCAGGACTGTTACAACCAGCCTTTAAAAAGGGCTTATTTTTGAAATTTCATTATTCCAGTTGTACCTTGCTTCTATATATCACACTGTATCGGGTTTTGCTGGCACCCACCATGTGGAAACAGTGAAGGC